AGGAGTGAGGACAGCTTCACTTCTTCTACCTAGGGATTTCTGCTTCGGAGAGGCGTCAGTGAGCAAGTAAATATTTTATTTCCCCTTCCAGCAGCAAAAGTGTGACTACAAACCTTACAGAGCAGAAGAATGTCCTTTTTTCCAAAGCGTCACTTCCTCGCGAGGTGCCTACCTTGTCCCCAGAAAGCTGCTAGAACACCTTCCAGATTGCCCTGTTGGTGGTGATGCTTCACCCTTGTACACCGACTTGATTTTTAGAAAATAACTAAAATGTATTTGGGGCCGGGTGCAGTGGCTCATGCCTGTAATCCCAGCACTTTGGGAGGCCGAGGTGGGTGGATCACTTGAAGTCAGGAGATCAAGACCAGCCTGGCAACATGGTGAAACCCCATCTCTACTAAAAATACAAAAATTAGCTGGGTGTGTTTGTGGGCGCCTGTAATCCCAGCTATTTGGGAGACTGAGGCATGAGAATCGCTTGAACCCGGGAGGCGGAGGTTGCAGTGGGCTGAGATCGTGCCACTGCACTCCAGCCTGGGCAACAGAGCGAGACTCCATCTAAAAAACATAAAAAATAAAATGTATTTGGCACCAGGCGTAGTCATGGATACAACTCATGGACTTGGGAAATGTTGACTAGAGATGAGATGCTGCTATGCGGGTCATGAGGCAGCGTCAAGCTCTCAGGGCAGGTCAGCAGAAGGGGCCCAAAAGCTTACTGATAAATGGCAACAGGATTAGAAGAGGCACAGAACTGCCCAAAACGTGAGAATCATGGCTTCCTTATGTAGAGGTGGAGCCCGTATGGATGCATGTATGTAAAAAGAAATCTTATTATATAATCTTTATAAATTCCCTAAATAGTGTTTATTGTTTTGGGTTTTTAAAAATATTTCACATTGTATTTAATCACCATAACATCTCTAAGGGCGCCACCAGGCTTTAAAAATTCATATTACACAAATGAAGAAACTGAGGGTTGAAGCACCGTATAAAATTAGTTGTAGAACCAAGGCTTTCTCAGGCCTCTGAGGTGAGCCACATTTTGCCCCTCGACCCACGGATGATCCACGAGGCAGAGTGGGTCCACATTTAACTGTCCTAATTTTTAGTACAATTATATTTCTCCTCAGTAAAACAGTCTCATATTACAAACTAAGAGAAGGAAGGAAAGAAGGGAGGGAGGGAGGGAAGGAGAGGGAAGGAAGGAGGGAGGGAGGAAGGAGAGGGAAGGAAGGAGGGAGGGAGGGAGGAGAGGAAAGGAGGGAAGAAAGAGATGATCTGGCACTCGCTTTATGTAACTGGACATTTTACTTGGGACTCTGTATTAGTCAGTTCTCACACTGCTAATAAACACATACTCAAGGCCGGGCACCTGTAGTCCCAGCACTTTGGGAGGCCAAGGCTAGCAGATTACTTGAGGTCAGGAATTTGAGACCAGCCTGGCCAACATGGTGAAACCCCATCTCTACTAAAAACACAAAAATTAGCTAGGCATGGTGGCACACATCTGTAATCCCAACTACTTGGGAGGCTGAGGCATGAGAATTGCTTGAACCCAGGAGGTACAGGTTGCAGTGAGCCAAGATTGTGCCACTGCACTCCAGCCTGGGGAATAAAGTGAGACTCTGTCTCAAAAAATAAATAAATAAATAAATAAATAAATAAATAAATAAATAAAATAAAGACATACCTGAGACTGGGTAATTTAGAAAGAAAAGAGGTTTCATGGACTCAGTTCCACATGGCTGGGAGGCCTCACAATCATGGTGGAAGACAAAGGAGGAGCAAAGGGGTATCTCACATGGTAGCAGGCAAGAGAGCATGTGCAGGGAGAGTGCTGTTTATAAAACAATCAGATCTCATGAGAACTTACTCCCTACCATGGGAACAGCATGGGGGAAACCACGCCCATTATTCAATTTTCTCCACCTGGCCCCGCCCTTGACATATGGGGATTATTACAATTCAAGGTGAGATTTGGGTGGGAGCATGGCCAAACCATATCAGGCTCTCAGTAAAGAAACAGTGTGGTTGCTACTTCTAGAAAATAACAAACCACACCAGAGTAACACATCCTTGCCTCCTTCTAAAGCCATGAAGCAGGCTTGTCACTGTGTGTCCACGTTTTGTGGCCAAGAACTTTAAGCAGGAACAGTACCATGGCTCCGTGGGCCATCTCACTGCTGTTGATGCTGCACACCCCAGCCCCCTGGCTCCATCCAGTCATACTCAGCCTAGTGACATTTCCAGCATGATTTGCTCCAGAGGCATCAAGAGAAGGCTTGCATCCATCTCCTTTTCATTTATAACATTTCACTTCCAAATTAAGAAATAGAAAAACTGAGAATAGTGTGTAGTCATATTTGGCCTAGATGAAGATTATTTGTACAAAAGAACACTATAAAAAGCAGAAAGAGGCATAGGATGAATGAATGTTTCCAACAGTTGAGAATAAAAGCAGCATTCTTCCTAATTAGTATGAAGGACATAAGGGGAAGAAATAGTCATTCCAGGAGACCTTACTTTTTCTTTCTTAATTGCATGCAGACGAAATGTGTTTGCTGAGGGAGTAAGTGCAGGGTTCCCTGTGGCTTCACCACTGCCCCCAGTGTGGACGTGGAATCTGCAACCACAGTCCCCATGTGGCTCTTGCACACGTCCGTCCCCACGGCTTCTCTTCAGCATCCTCCAGTGTGGACTCAAAGTCCAGTTAAGACATCATTAAAAAATAAAAGTGTTCCATATGAAGCAAGAGCTAGGCACAGACCTTGAGTTATATTTAAGGACAAAAGTGAAATACATTTTTTTCTTATGATTATAAATAATGACCAAATCTCATCATTATACATACCTGTCCCCACCTTTGGGCCGTGAAACAACAAAGCAGGACCTTTGGTGAATGTTGCTGGCAGGATGTGCCACCTTTCAGTGCCAGAGCCAGGATGGAGAGCAGGGGGAGGGCATGGCCCCCGTGGACATGCAGGCCAGGCCCTAGGGCAGGCCAGGCTCTAGGGCAGGCCAGTGTGGGGCGCAGATTGTGCAAAGAAAAACAACCATGTTTCAGGCATCACAGAAACGGAGCAGGTTGAAAGGCCTGACAGCTGGATTACAGCTGAGCGCCCCTCTTGCGTTCTTGGGTTGTGTGCCTCCTCACCACCCCAGTCCTCAGGGACTCCCCAAGACCACAGTGGGCAGCTGCAGACCTCCCTTCCAGGCCATGCACCAGCGGCCCCCTGTCTCAGGCCCTCACTGGCTTGCCACTGTTCCTCTTGTTTGCCACATGGTCCTGATTTAGGTCAAGTTATTAAGAACCTTGATTAACAAGTAGGTGTGGGAAATGGGGGAGATGCGGCACTGGAATCTCCTGGTTAACTGAGGCTCCGGCCAAGGCACCTGGCTACTTAGTCCTTTATGTTAAAATAATTATTAAGTGTAGTGAGGTCCCTCTCCCACTCGTCAGGAATTGTCTAGTGAATGTACTGCTCTCTTTAGTGATAAAAGATCTTGTAAGACCACAAAGTAATCATTCTGAACAGTAGATCTCATTATAGATAGAGAAGGGGTGAGTGATTGAACGCGCATTAGCTGGCTTCTAGAACATTCTGGGATTCACCTGGGAATAGTCTTTTTGGGACATTAATTTTCTGAACACTTTCTTCTTCCTCTTAAATGTAAAATTGTATTTTTTTAATCTGGTTTTTGGAGGGTTCTGCGTGACTGGATGAATTCCCAGAAGCCCCAGTACCCCTTGGGCTAAGTAGAGAGCGGCACAGAGCCTGTGGTAGTTTCAGGTTTGGGCAGAATCAGGCGCATGACCCTGAAGATATCAAACCAAGTTTGCCTGAAGCCCAGAGCCATGAACCAATTTCCCTAATTAGCTAGAGAGTGTCCCTGGGTATTTTATCTTTAAGGAGGAGGAATTAGAGAATGGAGCCTTCAACAGCCCAGGCAGGGATGCTTTTCACCCTGTGTCACTCTTTGGGGCCTCCCGCCAGCCCTTTTCAGGTTCTTTCTCTGTCCTGCCTCCCCGGACCCCTCGCTGTCCCGATCAGGTGATTAGTTGTGCGTTTGTCTGGTACTGCGGTGTGAAAGTCAAGGCATCAGCTGGAGAGATGTGACCTCAAAACCCACAGAGCAGCCCCCACGCCCCTCACCCCCAGGGCAGCCACACACAGTGACAGGCAGCTCCCAGTGCCTTTGGGTTTATTTCTTTATTTTTTTCCATTTACAAACGCTTTATTCCATACATTTCAGTAAGATAAAGAAAAAACAAGAGCAATAACAAAGCAAATAGTAAATCAAATGTTTCCTGATATTTAAAATGTTAAATAATGAGAATTCTGTAACTCACTTATAGCCAATGGGAATGATTTTACCTTTTCTAAAGATCTAATATACACTGCAACTACAGCTTGGGACATTTGGCTCATTTAACCCTATTTGAAATATTCTGCATTTTTATGTATAATTTGTGATAAGCATTTATTTTAGTGCTTTATCATATATTTCTCCAGTATGTTCAATATTATTCGTTGAGGAATCTTTCATTTTCTTTTTAGAATGCCTTGTCATTATATTTACTTTGTCAAACTTGCACTGAATACATCTGTGTGGATCTGTTACTGGCCCACCTACTTTGTTTCATTGATCTTTCCACTTTCTGTTAATTGCTTTTACTTTTGGAGCTTTATTAGTATTAAATACATTTTAAATAATACAATTATATCAACAAGAATTAGGGGAAAATCCATAAAGGCAATATAAATAGAAAGAAAAGCCTTTGGGTTTATTTAGCACGAGGTAGTGCCTGGGCGGCCCCTCCGAGTCCCACGTCCGTGCAGATTCTTGATAAACCGGATTTCAGAAGCTCCAGGCTGGCTGTGTCACCGCTCGCTCCGGCCCCCGGCTCCCGTGTCCAGGGCTGGGGTCGGCGGTCCCCTGGCTTCCGTCGCGCGGGGGTCCTGCCAAGCTACTCATGCTGTGTTTGGCGTTTCCAGGGAGTACTACATCACCATGGTGAAGTGGGCCACCAGCACCAAGGTCGCCGTGACCTGGCTGAACCGGGCGCAGAACGTGTCCATCCTCACCCTCTGCGACGCCACCACGGGGGTCTGCACAAAGGTACGGGGACTGTGAGGGTGGGGGGGAAACGGGTGAAGAACCAATGGCCAGACGCGCCCGAGGTGGCGCCAGAGTCGTCTCAGCCCTCGGGCCTGGGACGTGGGGACCGGCCGCCGAGCTGCTGCGGGGAGCCTGCGGCACCGTCCCGGCTCCGGCGCGGCTGCCACCTCGTGGCCGATGCAGGCGCTGCCGCAGACCCGGCCGAACCCCTCCGTGAATTGCCAGAGTCACCCCGTGCCTGGCACCTGGACGCCATCCGCAGTTCACTGAGTGTCGCTCCCTTTATCCGCCCTCACCGCTGTCACCTAAGTGAGCGTCCTCGTTGCAGCTGATGCTCGGAGAGGAGGGGCCCTGCCTTTCCCCAGACCCCGCCGACAGCCTCCCCCAGCGGGCTCCAGGCGTGCGTCCCTCCGCAGGTCCTGGTGGGGCCAGCCATGTTTCTAGGAGCCTCAGGCTGATTCAATGTGTAATGAGAGGAGGTAAACGTAGGGGAAAGAAAATTAAAACGCTCAAAGAGTAAACAAAGGAAAAATCAAGTCTAAGAGAGGCCGCCCGGGTGGAGCAGGCAGGTGGCCCACTGTGCTCACCCTCCGCCCCATGGGATGGGACCTCCCCACCCCACACTGCTCCATCAGGGCCCCCAGAAGCAAGTCCCCTTGTGGCGAGTTTTGTAAAAATCAAATAAAATCGATTAATACATTCAGGCAGATCTTTCAGAAAGTCCTTTTTGATCTTAAGTTTCTATCTCCCAACTGAGGGGGGCCAAGGCTTGCAGGCATGTTTTCTCGAGATGCTCCTAACGCAGCAGCTGTCACTGTGATCCTAAGCACTGTGATGCCTTTCTAAGGTGGTCAGTCTTGCGTGACCTTTTACCTAAGCTGGGGCGGATTCCAGGCTATTCTGATGAGCTTGCTTGAGGGGAAGGAAGGAATGAGAGGACACAAAGCAGGCAGCTAAAAATGGCTTGTAATCTGCAACTTCTCCATGCCCCTGAGCCTTGAGTGTCAGCGGCAGTTTCTGCTTCCTGCTATAACCCATGACAGAGGCCTGCTCCAGGGGCCCAGAGGTCCAGTCTGCGCAAGCACCAGGCCCACGGCGCCTCCGGATGACATATGTGTGCTGCACAGCTTGAGTTTGGTGTCTGGGGTTTTGTTTTTCTTTTGTTTGCACCTTTCCACAGACCACTGTGAGACCTACTTTTCCTATATGCTTTAGCCCCTTTGAAAGGGTTTCTGGTCCACCAGGAGTGTTACTCACTGTTCCAGAATGGGATCTGGACACAATGTCCACACATTCTGACTCAATGTAGCCTGAGGTTCACTGTTAGATGGATACATGCCCGGCCAGTGTTGACCGCCCCCTGGTACAGGCGCCATCTTCTTCCAGAGGGTTCTTTCCCACCACGAGTTTGTGTTGCTAGGGATAGTGGCATTTTCTCATTCGAGGACACTTGTGTTCGGCTCTGAGCCACACACGAGACAAACCGGAGAGCTTGGGATTGCCTCCTCCCGGAGCTGCCATGGCAGCCGTGCGATGCTTATGCAGCAACCGTGTAGGTGAAGCCAAATTGTTTTCTGCACTGTTGGTTGCAGACACAATACATAGGGGGAAAAAAAACCCTCTTGTCTAATGCTCTTATTTCTTTTCAGAAACACGAGGATGAAAGTGAGGCCTGGCTCCACAGACAGGTAACTACTGCACATGCGGGTCCCCACCATCACCTCCACCCGATCCACCCCAGGGCTGGCTCTCAGAGCTTCGACAACCGTAGAATGGCTTCTCAGAGTAAATCACACAGGGCTCCCCAGGCAGAAACAGACGGTGTGCTGGCTCTGCTCACAGTGCCTCCCGTTCTCCAGGGCAGCCCAGAGAGCTCCCAGAGAATCTGAGTTCTAAGGAGGGCCGTGTGAAAATCACAGCTCCTCAGAGCATGCAATGTTTGGTGAGACCTCAGCTTGCAGTTGGATGCCAGCACCTTGGTAAATTGAAAATGAAGAGTCCATCAAAGGTGGCTTGACATAATCTACTATAGTGAAAGGGTGGAAAAGTGGTGGAAAAGTGGTGGATATCCCTGTTTATTGCCAGGGGTGGTTTTGTTGGTGTCTCATTTGGAGTCACCTCCTCTGTGATTCTATAAGGCCCGTCCTCAGGGACACAACTGCAAACCCTCCCGGGGGAGTCTTCATCCCTAACTCGGATAAAGGAACACACATTAAAACAGACTCTAGGAACTTGAGACCAAAAGAGATCAGGAGAAGCCTAAGCAAATCATTTTGAGACAATTTTTCTAAATTAAACTCACACAAAAAGTATCCGTATTTTCTTTCTTCAAGCCTTTTTGTCTCATTCCACACTCTGACACTAAGAAGAACAGGTGAAAAAGCTTTGGAAGCTTCCTGTCTCCTTACCCTTCCTAAGGGGATGAAAGTTGTCTTAAAGACTGTGGGGAAAGTCAAACCAGACTTGAGTCTCATGAATTGTGGTAGAGACACAGGTATGCTTCTTCCTGGATATGGTATATTCTATTTATGGAAAATAACTGAAGCTGGACAAAACTATTGTCATGGCTCTCCAAGAACATTCCAGCACTGTAGCTGCTGGGCTACTGCTTCTGCCTATGGAGTCAGGAATATAAATATCTCAGAAGTCAGAGCCTCATCAATGGACGGGCTACTCCAAAATGTATCCTGTTTCTGCTCTGTTCCAATCTTATTCACAAGAGGAATGGCTCCACATGGCCACTTTCATTTTGCATGTCCCAATTTGGGTGTCAAGTTCAAGCCAAGAAGATATCGGGAAGAGGGAAGACTTAGGGAACCCTCAAACATTAGCATGCTGGAAATTTCTTGAATGCCAACGGAACCAAATATATAAGCATACATATCAAAAATAGTATTATGATGTTCATCTCACATCAGACAAATTGTCAGAGAGATTATAATGAAAGGATCATTTTGTAAACTCCATTATCTATATATCACGTGTTCAACCAATATTTATGGATCTTACCAGGCACCATGATAGGCTGTGGATTTCAAAAAATAAGTCGGCTACTATCACTGAGCCCACGTTGTGGTGTGTGTCAGAATTTTATTCCTTCTTATGGCTGAACAATATTCCAGAATATGTATGTAGTATATATCCTGGAATATTATACATATATATGTGTGTGTTATATGTATATATACATATATACAATATAATACATATACTGGAATATTATTCAGCCATAAGAAGAACTGAAATAGTATTCCAGTATATACCGGTTTGTTTGTCTGTTGATGGACATTTGGGTTGTGTCTACCTTTTGGCTATTGTGAATAGCACATCTAATAACAGACACAAAAGGCTACCTTATTGTGCAATTCCATCTATATAAAATATCCAGAATAAATACACTCATAGAAACAGAAAGCTGATCAGTGGTGTCCCAAGGCCGGGGGCAGTATGGAGAGGAACAGGTTAATGAACAGAGATTTATTTTGGGGTGGTGGAAATGTTTTGGAACTAGATAGAAGTGGTGGCTGCACAGCATTGTGAATAGACTAAATGCCACTCAATTGTTCACTTCTATTAATATGTTTTCTTTCGTGTTACGGGAATTTTACCTTAACCATTTTTTTAAAAATGAATAAGCTAGAGCATGAGCTCTCAAAGATGGTACATCCTAGACAGAGAGATGAGACGCTCACGTCACACCCATCATGTGGGACACGTAGGTGATCCTCAGACACTGAGAAGCAGGGCTGAGGTATTAGGGTGTTGGTGGGAGTGGGAGCCGGGAAAAGCGTGGTGGGCATGGAGCAGGTGGTCCTATGCCAGGCCCACTTTGTGTTTGAACAGGAGGAAGTGAAGAATGTGCTTAAAAGAGCAGACTAATGTGATTCTTTGTTGGGGGCATGGAGGCTGTGGGAAAGCAAGGTGGATGTGCCCACTCTGCTTCCCTGTCCCCGTCAAGAGGCATTCTCATGGGGGGAGCTGGCTTCCCGGCTGGTCACCTCCGGTTCTGCCCTCTGGATGGACAGCAGAGTACGTGGTCCCTGAGGCCCATGGAGGGCCGTGGTTCTGTCCTCCAGCACTCACTTCATCAGCTCTGCAGAGTGGCTACAGAGCCGAGGTCGTCCGCAGAACTTTCCTGTATTAGTGTTTGTGTGTCTCATCGTCCATGTGAGAACAGCTACCCGAGTGTCTCATCGTCCATGTGAGAACAGCTACCCGAGTGTCTCATCGTCCATGTGAGAACAGCTACCCGAGTGTCTCGTCGTCCATGTGAGAACAGCTACCCGAGTGTCTCGTCGTCCATGTGAGAACAGCTACCCGAGTGTCTCGTCGTCCATGTGAGAACAGCTACCCGAGTGTCTCGTCGTCCATGTGAGAACAGCTACCCGAGTGTCTCGTCGTCCATGTGAGAACAGCTACCCGAGTGTCTCGTCGTCCATGTGAGAACAGCTACCCGAGTGTCTCGTCGTCCATGTGAGAACAGCTACCCGAGTGTCTCGTCGTCCATGTGAGAACAGCTACCCAAGTGCAGGGTAAGACAGCCTGAATGGGATTCCGGAAACCAGATCCTTCCAAGCAGAATCCAGTCAACACTTAAAAGGTAGCATGAATTAAAATAATTCTTACTGTTTTCAAATGTAAAGTTTAAAGCATTTACTAAGCACACAGCTAAATTTTTTAAATAGCTGGTTAAACATATGCAATGCTGTCATGAGTTGGAAATGCAATGTTCTGTGACAGGTGTGTTTTCCTGGGATGGAGCGTCCCTGGGTCAGGTGGGCCCATCAGCTGCAGTTGTGATTGCGACACTGGGTTAGGGGCACCCTGCCCATGGCAGCAGTTGGGAAGCCAGGATGTCTCTAAAGATCCTACAGGTTGAGAGTCTGCACCTGTGAAGATCACAGCTCCACGGTCTGCAGGAAGATTTACTTTCAAACAGTTTCTCATGGCATTGTTTTTTCATAAGGGAATTCATGGACCCTATTTTTCAAAAATAATCCATAATGTTTCTGCATCCCTCAAGATACTGTGAGATCCTGGAGAACAACTTAGTAACTTTTTGAGGCTGGACCTGCCACCTGCTGCCAGTGAAGCCATTGACTGCTGCTTCAGACAGAGCCTAAGGGGGTTTCCCTGGGAAGGCTACGGGCACGAGTGAGAGAGACACACGGAGGCCGCATGCCCTCTACCCATCCATCTCCAATGGGTCACAGAAGCTTGCCCCAGCTGGCCCAGGAGAGACTGGCATCTGGAAAGTCCTGCAGACCTCAGGGAGACCTGACCTACTTAGGTCCACCGGTCTTCTGAGGACCCAATGCTAGAACAGAGGTGAGCTGTAGCGAGCCTGCTAATTTTGTGTCATCTGAGCTGTTCATCTGAGCCGTTCATCTTCCTGTCTTCTCTGCCCAACTCCTTCCTGGAATCCTCAGTATGGTCACCCGTAGAGATTCTGCATGAGCTAAAAAGCAGAGGCAAATGCATGTGTGGAGACCCACCAAATTGCCTCTCCTCTGGGAATATTCGAGAAACAGGCAATCCCCTCTGCCACATACACACTCTGTCACTGCTGCCCTGACCCTGCAAAGTCAGTCCTGATACAGACCCAGGAGGATCCTCTGCCAGAACCATCTGCATTTGCCGTAGAGCCCCAGAGCCTATTGTTTTGGTTGAAGGACTGGTTCTATGGATCAATTTCTGACTGTCTTTCTTCTTTAATCAGAATTTTGGTTTTGCGATTTCAAAATTTGGGCTGGGCAGGGGGCGTTGGACGAAATTGTTATATCTGAACCATGGGGGGAAAAAACTGGCAAAAATGCTACAAATGGCTCCCAAAGAAGCTCTCATCAGTCAGAAGGGCTCCTTCGTGAGTGGAGTTGAGGAAACCAGGCATGTGTGTGATAAACTCTGTCATCCAGGGAGACTAGAAACGCTTCCCCCAAAATCAAATGAGAGACAGAGTCAGGATAAAATCCAGGTCCCTGGTCAACAATCATTACACTTTGTCACTAAAAATACATTTACCACGTGAGACACCGGGTCTCAGAGAGACTCAGAGGCTTCACCTGCGTTCCAGGGAATGTTTCCAAGACAAGGTGGAGATGACATCACAACGGTGGAGGCCTTCTCATTATGAAAACAATGCTTCTGGCCAGAATTAATTATTTATTACATTTATTAAGAATATTTTTCTCTACCAAACATGCAAACATTTCCTCCAGAAAACTGAGGCAATATAGCCCTACCCATCCCACTGTTGGCAAATAGAAGTGCATTTTAAAAGCCAAATTAACCGCTGGTTTTCCCATTTCCTCTGCTTTTAAATACCATGCTTCCAACTCTAAATAGAAAAATAAATGTTTGCAGATTAAAGGTTTCATTTTATTGCAAATATTCATGAAGATTAAATGTCATTTTAATCACATGTTAGTTTATTTCTCGGGGCATATCATATCTGCATGGGTTCCTTCACTGTAGGGAAATGAGTTTTCCTTGCGCCAGCTGGGGTTTATTTACCATTTGTTCTCATCCCTGCGTTAGTGTGAAGCTCCTTGAGTCAGAAAATACATCTCGTAACTAACTAATTGGTGTTCACGGATGGAAACTTCCAAACTTGGGCTTCAGAGAGGCCAAGGTACTGCGGCAGCAAAATCCCTTTCACCCATCAAAGCGACGGCCACCCTGTGGGCTGGTGGAAGGCTGAGCCCCCTGGCTGTTCACTGTCTGGGGATTAGGCAGAGATGGTGGCGACACCTGCCCTAAATCCAACCCGGAACTCTTCCCCCAGGGAAAACTGGGCATGCTGATTCTGTTTCCAGGGAAAAGTGACAGTAGATCCAAGCAAATGTTGTCATCCAGTATGGCCCGAGGTGGAGCACATCCCTGGGACTGCTGTGCCTTCCCACCTGCATTTTAGAATCCGTGGTATTTGTCCTTGTGTTTCTTTTCTTTTTTTTTTTCTTGCCTTCTTGATGGGCTATTCAGTGTGAGATCAATTGTATTAAATAAGGAGAAAAGACAGGATTGAAAGAATAGATTTTGCTTTTAGGCAAAATCACGTTTGTGATTGTTGAGAATTATGTTTTTTTCTGATATATAATAAATGCCACTGGAGAAATCTCACAATACACCCTGGTTTCAATGGGCAATAATTCGAGGGGGAAGAACCCCCTTTTGAGTTTTGAGAGCCGAGTTCCTGTTCTCGCTGGTGAGCTTGGCATGCACACAGGGCTGGTCTTTGTCTCTGCGCCGTGTAGACTGAGGGATGCCTTTTTATTTGCCACTGCTGAAGCTATAGCCTCTTAATTCCTCGTTCTTCTTTTAGAAAACAGAACAGTTGACTCATGATTCCCAAGGAAAGTGACGGCCTCACCGAGCACTTATTATTTCAACTGTACCTCTCCTTAGAAATCACACAGAAAATGTATCTCAGGGTGTATTTTATCCTGGTTCAACCTCTTCAGAATAAATGATGTTTTAGTTGTGGTTTCATCCGTGTCCTTTGTCCACAGAATGAAGAACCCGTGTTCTCCAAGGATGGCCGAAAGTTTTTCTTCATCAGAGCGATCCCCCAGGGAGGACGAGGAAAATTCTATCACATCACAGTGTCCTCGTCCCAGGTAAGTCCTGCTAGTTTCCACAACTGAACTAGAAACTAGCCTGCTAGAGGCCGTGGGGTGACAGCCTCTAGGGCTGGGCACACCTGCATTTTCAAGGACCTCGAGGAAACTGAAGGTGACTCCCAAAGGCAGTGCAGAGCATGGTGCTGGTGAGTGCAGAGGTTCCCATCAGGCCTGGTAGAGCCTTGCTCTATCTGGTCGTGTGTGAGAATGTGAATGACGCTTCTGCCAAGGTCAGCAGAGACCCAGGGATCCCCTGTTCAGTGTAAGGCTGAGGACGTTGGAGGACCATCTGTGCCGGAGGTCCTTTCCTTCTCCTTCTGCTGGGGGTCTCCTTAACATACTCCCCCCGAGGCATGGCTCCATGCACTCAACATCCCTCAGGGATCCAGCCTCCCACACTGCCCCATCTCCACCCAGAGCTAGATGCAGGTATTATTTTATTATGTGACCGCTACCAGTCATCACTCACTGGTTCTGGGGTGTGGCGAGTTAGGAACAGAGCATCCCTGGGTAGGGAACCTCAGAGATTAATATACATGAATTTAGGACCAAAAGTAGACATCCCGGGGTCAGCGTCTCCTGCAGAGGTCACCTCAGGGAGCCTCATGCCTGCAGGACGGGGCTGCCATGATGTTGACTTTGGGGGACTCTGCCCTGAGGAAGAAGGGAAGCGTGATCTTGGAGCTCCTTAGTTTTGGAGGCAGTCTAAAGTTATTTGGGATCAGGGTAGATGAATGAAATTTGATTAGAGAAAAGGTTAATCACAAATATTCTATGGCTATAACGTAGAAGGCTCGTATTTATGATGAGGCCCCAAAGGCAATTTCAAAAGAAAAAAATCCAAGAACATCCCGACTAAGAGCAGCTTTGATGGAATCGAGGTGGGGGCTGCGGAACTCCTGGGATGGAAATGGCGTCTCTCGGAGGTTCAGGTGCAATTTGTTCTCAGTGCACTTCATGGCACGACTGATAGAATGTCTGCAAGCTGTTGCCTTTGCTTTTTCCTATCGTCTTCTTTCTACCACCCTACATTGTTTTGTTTACTATTTTACACCACTTAGATCAAGATTTTAAAATGCTGGTCGGGTGGGGTGGCTCACACCTGTAATCCCAGCACTTTGGGAGGCCGAGGCAGGTGGATTACTTGAGGTCAAGAGTTCAAGACCAGCCTGGCCAACATGGTGAAACAAAAATTAGCTGGGCATGGTGGCACATGCCTGTAGTCCCAGATACTTGGGAGGCTGAAGCAGGAGAATTGCTTGAACCCAGGAGGTAGAGGCTGCAGTAGGCTGAGATCATGCCACTGCACTCCAGCCTGGGTGACAGAGTGAGATACTGTCTCAAAAAAAAAAAAAAAAAAAAAAAAAAAAGATTTATAAATGCTTCAGTGTTTTCATTTGGCCCCTAGTCTTTGTATTTGCCCAGAGCCCTATCAAACGTTCCAGCAGGAAGCAGGTCTCCTGCACCGCCCATGAGGCACCCCTTGGGGGTCCCGCAGAGCCTTCCCTTTCCAAACCTGCTTCAAACTCCCCAGCCTCTCCTGCACGCTCTCTGCGCCCCCAGGGCCTGCTGCCCCCAAACCTCCATGTTTGAGTCTGCAGCCCCCAGAGTGTGTGACTTGGGCCCTCCACCTAGTTTAATCTCCACCTGCTCTGCGTCCACCTCCCAGGGCACCTGCCATCCAGAACAGCTGCCCCTTTTCAAATCTCCACTGAAACATCACTGCTGCCTAGACGGCCCTGTCCTCTCTTCTGTTACCACGTGTCATTACCATGTGTCGTTACCATTCTTAGCTCAAGGGCCACACAGGGAAAGACAATGCGTGCAGGACGTGTAGTGTGGCAATACAGATCCAAGCCGTCCTTGTCAGCGGCAGCAGGGAGCGCCCTTTCTCCCTCCATTTATTCTTCTCTCTATTTCCCTCCCTGAATTCATCCACCTCCCGGCATTTGTCTCTTTCCTCCCTCACTGGTCCCCCTTCAGTAATGGCTCCACTAATTAGATTTACAAATGAAAAAGGTCTATAAAGCATTGATTCTCCTGAGAGTGCTTCTATCGTGGTTGGAGGCCAGGTCCAAGTGATTTGCGCCACCAAAGAGGACAGGGCGCTGTTCCCCACCACTGACATTCAGGGGTGGGGGAGGCTTCGGGCCTGGGGTTGGTCAGGAAACTTCACGGAGGATGTTGCCTCCCAGGAGAGGAGCAGGCAGAAGGGGCAGAGAGCCCTTCCTACAGAGAGAATGGCAGCCCCTGTCGCCTGGTGTCCAAAACAGCTGGAGGATGAAGAGCCTTGCCCGGACACCGGTGTCTGCTCCTGATGCCGTGTCTATGTGTTTCAGCCCAACAGCAGCAACGACAACATCCAGTCCATCACCTCCGGGGACTGGGACGTGACCAAGATCCTCGCCTACGACGAGAAGGGGAATAAGATGTGAGTGACAACCAGGGGCCTGCCCCATCTTACTGGCCAATGGGACACGTTTGTTATTGTTTGTCAATTACACTCATGGAGTACGGAGCACGGAGGCCTCGGAGGCCTCCTCTTTCCTCCTCAGGCAGCATCACTAACTCCTAGTTTCTTCATGAAAATGTATCGTAGATTCCCGTCTCAGCAGTCCAGCTGCCAGAGCTGCAGCATCCTGAGGACACAGGCTGGCAGCCAGCCCGTAAGGGGAAGCGCGCTAGCAGCAGTAGTAGGGGTAGCACTGATGTTGACTGAGTTTTCCAGCAGCAGTGGTAGGGGTAGTACTGATGCTGATTGAGTTTTCCAGCAGCAGTAGTAGGGGTAGTACTGATGCTGATTGAGTTTTCTAGCAGCAGTGGTAGGGGTAGCACTGATGTTGACTGAGTTTTCCAGCAGCAGTGGTAGCGGTAGTACTGATGTTGATTGAGTTTTCTAGCAGCAGTAGTAGGGGTAGTACTGATGCTGACTGAGTTTTCTAGAAGCAGTAGTAGGGGTAGCACTGATGTTGATTGAGTTTTCCAGCAGCAGTAGTAGGGGTAGCACTGATGCTGATTGAGTTTTCTAGCAGCAGTAGTAGGGGTAGTACTGATGTTGATTGAGTTTTCCAGCAGCAGTAGTAGGGGTAGTACTGATGTTGATTGAGTTTTCTAGCAGCAGTAGTAGGGGTGGTACTGATGCTGACTGAGTTTTCTAGCAGCAGTGGTAGGGGTAGTACTGATGCCGATTGAGTTTTCTAGCAGCAGTGGTAGGGGTAGCACTGATGTTGATTGAGTTTTCTAGCAGCAGTAGTAGGGGTAGTACTGATGCTGATTGAGTTTTCTAGAAGCAGTAGTAGGGGTAGTACTGATGTTGATTGAGTTTTCTAGCAGCAGTAGTAGGGATAGTACTGATGCTGATTGAGCTTTCTAGAAGCAGTAGTAGGGGTAGTACTGATGCCGACTGAGTTTTCTAGCAGCAGTAGTAGGGGTAGCACTGATGCTAATTGAGTTTTCTAGCAGTAGTAGTAGGGGTAGTAATGATGCTGATTGAGTTTTCTAGCAGTAGTAGTAGGGGTAGTACTGATGCTGACTGAGTTTTCTAGAAGCAGTAGTAGGGGTAGTACTGATGTTGATTGAGTTTTCTAGCAGCAGTGGTAGGGGTAGTACTGATGTTGATTGAGTTTTCTAGCAGCAGTAGTAGGGGTAGTACTGATGTTGATTGAGTTTTCTAGCAGCAGTAGTAGGGGTGGTACTGATGCTGATTGAGTTTTCTAGCAGCAGTAGTAGGGGTGGTACTGATGTTGATTGAGTTTTCTAGCAGCAGTAGTAGGGGTAGCACTGATGCCGACTGAGTTTTCTAGCAGCAGTAGTAGGGGTGGCAGTGATGCTGATTGAGTTTTCTAGCAGTAGTAGTAGGGGTAGTACTGATGTTGAGTTTTCTAGCAGCAGTAGTAGGGGTAGCACTGATGCCGACTGAGTTTTCTAGCAGCAGTAGTAGGGGTGGCAGTGATGCTGATTGAGTTTTCTAGCAGTAGTAGTAGGGGTAGTACTGATGTTGAGTTTTCTAGCAGCAGTAGTAGGGGTAGCACTGATGCCGACTGAGTTTTCTAGCAGCAGTAGTAGGGGTGGCAGTGATGCTGATTGAGTTTTCTAGCAGTAGTAGTAGGGGTAGTACTGATGTTGATTCAGTATTTACTAGTCCAGGCACTAAGCCAAGTGCTTTACAGACATTATCTCATTGAATACAACAGTTCCATGAGGTGAGAAGGGTTTACTACTTTCCCCATTTTAAAAATAAGTAAATTGAAACAAAAATAAGTAATTTGCTCCAGGTTATTCAGTTGGTAGCAGGTGGATTTGGCTCAGATGAGGGGAGCCCGGGTCAGAGGACTTTACCACCACACAATTTTGCCTCCCTGCTCCCTGGGTAAGAGCCAAGGTTTCTGCATTGGGAGGTCTTAGGTGAAAATGAATCAACAACTATTTTCTGCGCCAGACTCTATGTCTGAACTTGTCTTAAATGTGCTCAGCTCCTTGCCCTTCAGAAGGTGAGTGATCTTGTAAAAGAATTCCACATCCATATTCAGGTGTGTTATCCCCAACCACAGTGTCCTCCAGCCATGAAGCAGAGGCCAGTACAGGGAGCACCCAAAGCCAATGGACTGTGCACTGGTGCCTCTCAGCCCTTAGGTGTCTGCCCACCCCTTGCTCTGGCCACAGGTGTAGCTGGACCTGAACAGGGGAGCTGCTCTCTGCAGGCCGTGGGCAGCAGTCCCTGAGGAGTGTCCATAGAGGTAGTGCCAGGAATGTGAAGTGCAGATGTGCCCTGAAGCAAACTAACCCTGTGCACCTTGGTGATCTTTGCAGCTACTTCCTGAGCACGGAGGACCTGCCTCGGAGACGACAGCTCTACAGGTAGCTCTGGCTCCCCCTGCACACAGGGTTCTCCCCCTTAGGAGGGCATCCAGGCTTTGCAGAATTGCACCTTTTCAGCGGTTCAGAAAGAGGGGGCGGCAAAGACAGACCCCACCATAGAGGAGTAGCTGTGGAGTCCGGAGCGAAGTCATGACACTTGCAGAGGCCACCAAAGGGGTCGTTTTGAGACTTTTGAAGCTTTATTTTTCTGCTGTTGTTGACTTGGGTTTTCCCCATCACTCACTTGCCTCTTCTGCTAATGGATGGACTTTTAGCCGTCTTTCCTTTCACCTCTATTCAGTGTCACCTCAGAGGAATTATGCGCCCTCCCCACACTGAGTTTTTGTAGGGAGCAGAGTGTGGTTTGGAAATGAACCAGTGGGTCAGTGCGAGGAGCTGGCCCTGCTGTCCGGCACTGCAGCTCGCTGGCTTTGGGGGCCTCTGCCCTGAGGAAGACAGGAAGCATGATCTTGAAGCTCCTCAATTTGGAAACAGTCTCAAATTATTTGGGATCAGGGTAAATGAATGAAATTTGATTAGAAAAAAAAAAACAAAAACACATTAATCACAAATATTCTATGGCTATAAAGTAGAAGACTCATATTTATGATGAGGCCCCAAAGGCAATTTCCCATCTCAACAGCCCAACTGTGTGACTTTGGACAAGCTTCCAAATCTCAAAGAGGGCGGGGACACTGTGCCCTGAACTCTGGAGGGGGACTGGGTGTTTTCTAGGGCGTGTCCCTCTTCTACATTCAGTCCTGTCATCTGCTCAGTCACTGTCCTCACGAAAGGAGGCTTTGGGTTGTGAAGTGAGATTAGCCCTGGGCACTTTCTACCAGGGCCACAGAGGTGAGGAGCGGGTATCTGCTGCCTCCCCATGCCCCTGCATGGGAGGGCTACAGCCAGTCACACCTAAAGACACCTGGGCCACTGAAGAGGATGTTGTTCAGGGCAGACCTGAGGCTTGAGGCCAGTGGCACATGGTCTAAATGGAGCCAGTGCCTGTTGCCCCCACCCCACTGCTGGGACATGGAAAGCCTCCCTGGTGAACGCAGCCTCCCTTCCCAGCCATCGGCAGCTATGCGGAGAGGATGAGGTCAGCATGAGGGAGCCAGTGGAGGGAGAGTCACAGATGTGCTTCTCTGTGTAGATGTTCCGTCGTTGCCACATGTCTACTAGGAAAATTGAAATCCGCATGTCACCAATTAATAAACATGAGAGGCTGCCTGGGGCCCCATCCTCTAACTTATAGAATGAGAAGGTTGTCTTCCCTCTCCCATGAAATGTCTTTACTCCTGGAACAACAGTCTTCATATTGAAACCTATGGTTAGAGGGGACCCTCCCGGGGCAAAATGTTCAGATAAGAACTTCTTCCAGGTAGATCCAGTACCTCAGGATCTTTCCATTTTAGGGAGCATATTTTAGGCCTTCTTGACTTGAAATGACCCTTGACCACAGTGGTCCCGGGTAACATCTTCAAGCCAGTTCCCACTTGCCTAGCTCCATTGAATGGGAAGCGTGAGCTCTTGCGGTTTCACTCTGTCAGGGGACGTGGCTTTTGGAAGCTGCCAGAGTTCGGTTCCACCGGTGCTGCTGCAGCCCCTGCCTGCTCGCATGCCAGCGTTTGGAACTCCAGAGAGTTTGAAGATACGTCACCCTGTTTACTCTTCTCAAATTGCTAGCCATCCACTCAGAGAGACAGGATACGTGCAGATAGAGTGCTAGATCATAACGCCGACAGCTCCATGCTCCTCGCACCAGGCCACCTGCCGAGCCAGGAGAAGGCAGCATAGGTGACCGCCTGCCGGCCCTCCCACGAGCAAGGGTGCTAAAAGCTCTCGAGAGTGGGAGCGACCCACCAGCAAAGAAAGGTGGAAATGGAACTGGGTGGTCTCAGGGGCTCCAGCAGGGAGACAAAGGGAGAAAGGCCAAGGGAACCTGTAGCAGGGCTCTGCAGATCACCCTCATGGGGAGAGCCCAGCAGCTTGGGCACCCAACGTGGAGGGCGGCTCCTCTCCGCCCACATTCACCCCTGTGTCCTTTGCTCTTCCAGTGCCAACACGGTGGGTAACTTCAACAGGCAGTGCCTCTCCTGCGACCTGGTTGAGAACTGCACCTACTTCAGCGCTTCCTTCAGCCACAGCATGGACTTCTTCCTGCTCAAGTGCGAAGGTCAGCTCCTGCCACCCCGTCAGGGCGGAGAGCCCTGGCAGGCACATTTGCAGGGAGGGGCGGGCACACTTGCAGGGAGGGGGCGGCGGCTGTGGTGGGAGCACAGCGTATTCCAGAACAGATGAGGATCCCGCCTACCTGGTAACATTGGTCAGGGGGCGAGATGACTGGACCCCCACAAATCCTGGGGCAGTGGGACTACTTTATGTTTCATACAGGGGTGCAGCTTATCAGAGTTGTCTGTGCATGCTGTGCTGGTAATCTCACAGTTTGTCTTCCGTCGTCCACAAAAAATAATAGTCCCATGAGCTAGGTAGGGTAAATATCCTACACAGTGATGAGCCTAAGTCAACAATAAAGGTTGTAAAACAATTTCAAAGATTAACTTTTCAGTCATATTTAAGGATGATCAAATATCACCAGGCCTGGTATCCCAGCACTTTGTGAGGCCAAGGTGGGCAGATTCACCTGAGGTCAGGAGTTCGAGACCTGCCTGGCTAACATGGTGAAACCCGGTCTCTACTAAAAATGCGAAAACTAACCGGGCATGGTGGTGAATGCCTGTAATCTCAGCTACTTGGGAGGCTGAAGCAGAAGAATCGCTTGAACCCGGGAGGCGGAGGTTGCAGTGAGCTAAGATCGCACCACTACACTCCAGCCTGGACAACAGAGTGAGACTCCATCTCAAATGACCAGATAAGAAAAAAGGATTGAGGTTATGTTAAAGAAGTCTCAGAAAAATATTTTCCTATGTCCCAATTCATTGATAATTTATCCCAAACTGCAAGAGTTTGATCACACCAACCAGCATGCACAAAAGAGTAGCCATGTTGCATATAGGATACAAAGGATACTTTTGCTGCTTGTCCGTATCTTGGAAAGATATGATATGAATCTATGGAAAGGTAAGTCATAAATATGGTCCTAACAAAATATGATCTCCTGCGATGACCTCAAAGAATGAAAATATGCTACAGGCAGAGACTGAGTTCAGGAGCAACTCACTCCTCAGTTAGAGTTTCAATGCCATAAGCCATAGGTGGAGAATGAATAACTTTTATCAGAGAAATGTCTTTGCTAGCCTTTGCTAGCTACTGGAGAGCTCATGGCTTCATGACTTTGTTCTCTTTTTATCAGTGGCATCTAAAATCTTGAAAATCCACAGAACAGGAACACTCAGCCGCTTTCTCTATGCAAGCTCAGCCCCTGACATTCTTCTAAGACAGCGAGGAGACCACGGAGGGATGAGGGGGCGTGCGTCTGAAATATAACGTTAGTACCCCAGTTCCCTCAAAGTTGATGGTACCAAATTCCTCTTTCCTGTGCGTCCCAAGAAGGAGGCCACCAAGGGTCTGAAATTATAGAGTGCTGTAGGGGAAAGAACCTAAGATCGAACTGACCCACTTCATGTATCAGATGGCAAACCCTAAGCCAGAAGTTGAGTGGATTCTCTGATTCCTGATGAGCCAGTAATACAGAGAGGGCCAGCGTCAAGGTCTCCCGGTTCCTAGCCCAGTGACTCCTGTCTCCCTGGGGCGGGATCTTTGTAAAATAAGAACTTGGGAAATTATAGGGATTGACGGGCATAGGGATTGGGAAAACTGGCAAGCAGACCCATTGGAGCCAGAGAGTCTTAGAAGGAGCTACATAATCAGAAACCAGAATCCTGTCTCAGAAGCAGGAGGTAGCTTCAATACACAGGAGGTCATGATCAAACACAGAAGTGAAAAATTGAAGTAGATTTCAAGAAGAGTGCCCCCAAGCAACAATGGTTGAATGAGAAAGGTGACAGAGCCTCCAAGGTGGAGATCCTGAATTAGGGGCAGAGGTCATTTGCCAGAGGGGCTTGGTCTGGCCTCAGCAGGAGGCAGAGCCTTTGGGATCTGAGGTCTGCACTGGTCAAGACAGCAACAGTGTGGATTTGTATTTCCCAAATTCTTACTATAACCAGCAAGAAGGGTCTGGCTTCTCACCATTCATGGAAAGAAGTCAGATAATAATGAGTTGTGATATGAAGGAGCAATATTTCTTTATTATCTGTGCCAGCAAGGGGAAGAGCAGAAAGCAATTCCACTCTTCAATTTGTGGAGGAAATACAGGGTTTCTTTAAAAAAAAAGAAGAAGAAGAAGAAGGATTTGGAATGCAGAAGAGCTTGGGGGTTTAGGAGGTGCCAAGGGGTGTGACTGGCTGTGGTGGCCCCTCTTTAATTATTGTCTCATTTGGTGAAGGGGCTGGCACCTCGTGGATCCTACCAGGTTATCAATTAATCACAGTTGGCCTTGTAGTCACTCTTCAGCCATGAGTGGGTTTCAGCCTTGAAGTACATCTTTTGTTAAAGAAAGAATTCTGGAGGTATCTGGGTCCTATCGGGATCTGACCCCTGGAGGTTTTAAGGAAATACATGAGCAGATAAGAGAGCACAGCGTGTGCTCCGCAAGCATCTGGGTCAATAAATGTGCATAAGGCATGAGAGCATAGAATGGGAAAAGAAAGGGAGTGGAGGCCACAGCCCATTCTGAGGCTGTGTTTCAAGATGAAAGGTAACACATATGCAGCTTGTCTCAAGGTGGTATCTTGAGACTGGGAGAAGGTAGAAGAGGAGAGGAGAAAGAAAAAAAGTTTAAATCATGATTTGAGGCTGAGCTGCTCGGTCATATTCCTACCACATACTAACTTCTGCTCCACATGGTGACCCTCCCAGACTCCAGAACCCAACAGCTCACTTGTTGTGTTGTTTGAGATGGAGTCTCGCTCTGTTGCCCAGGCTGGAGTGCACTGGTGCAATCTCAGCTCACCGCAACCTCCACCTCCCGGGTTCAAGCGATTCTCCTGCCTCAGCCTCCCAAGTAGCTGGGATTACATGGATATATAATTTTTATATTTTTAGTAAAGACAGGGTTTTGCCATGTTGCCAGGCTGGTCTCACACTCCTGGTCTCAAATGATCCACCTGCCTTGGCCTTCCAAAGTCCTGGGATTACAGGCATGAGCCACCTCGCCTGGCCCTTGTTAACAAACCCTTTCCCCACTTCCCTTTGGAGGTCACAGATCCCTGCTAAGTTCAAGCTCAAGTTTAGTCTGGATGCCTCATTCTGACAACTGGAAGCCTTTTATGGTTCAGTTTCCATAAGCTGCAGCCCCGGGTTGAAGTTAAAAAGGCTCTCCCAGAAGATCCATGGCCATGGATTTAGGCAGGGTAGTTCCAGTTCCCACATGGCGGATGTAAACATGGAACCCGAGGTAGATAGAAACACAGCCCCGTGTTGGGAGGCTGTTTGGACAAAGTGTTAAAGTTTAGAGAGCACTGTAGGGTGGCTCCTGTGCAGATTTCTAGTCTGCCACTGGCCTTCTGTCCCCGGGGCAGATTCATGTTTCTTTGTATGTTTATGTATTTGCAAGGCTTGTGTTGTGGTCTGCAAATAGTTATTGTGAAGAGATGACTCCATAGTTGATACCTGGGAGGAAAAAAGAAGCAAAGAACAAGTACAGCAACACAAGGTCAGACACACAACTGACCCAGCCCCCAGGTACAGCCACACTGGGTCACACACACAACTGACCTGGGTCCCAGGTACAGCCACATTGGGTCATGCACACACATGACTGACCCGGGCCCCAGGTACAGCCACACTGGGTCACACACACAACTGACCTGGGTCCCAGGTACAGCCACATTGGGTCATGCACACACATGACTGACCCGGGCCCCAGGTACAGCCACACTGGGTCACACACACAACTGACCTGGGTCCCAGGTACAGCCACACTGGGTCACACACACACAACTGACCCAGGCCCCAGGTATAGCCATACTGGGTCACACACACACAACTGACCTGGCCCATTTGGCACCTCCACCATCTCACCTTCAGAAAGGATGGGATGCTCCTCCTGCCAATGCCTGGATCCCTATAATAATCAAACAGATTCCTAAAATTTGAAGATAAGAATAGATCTCAGAGCATCTAATCCAGTCTCCACCCTGCCTTTCTTTTGTTGATTCAGAAACTGAACTCTTAGTCATTATGAAATTATCACCCTAGGGTTTCCTGAATCATTTAAGGTCTGTTTAAATATTTAGCCTATTGCCTCATCTTAAGGTAGATGTAAACTAGCCCTCTTCTCTACAAAACTGCTCTTTAAAATGTTTACATAATAAGCTATTTTCTGGCTAAAGTAACTTGAATGCCCAAATTAAACTCTCTCCATAGAGGTAACCAAAATCCCACTTATAAAAAGAGATTTTCTGAAAAGGCTTAAATTTACAAAGACAGCAAAGTAAACAGGGCGACAGTAGCAGCCAACTCTGAACCTGGAAGCAGTTACCAGTGATAACTGCCTCAGCAGACCCTGAAGCTGAGCCTCTTCCTGCCATGGGGAAAGCTGAGCAGGCATTGGCGATGATTGCCTAAGGGATGAGATGATCCATTGCTATGAAATCTTAAAGGAGGAAATGATGATACCCATTTGGATTGCTTGGGGCTTTTTGCTGGAGGAGAAGACTCAGGGAAGGTATCAATGATGAGGTGGCATTTAAAACAAATGAGTAGGTAGGATTTGGAATGTGAAAAAGCAGCCTAAGTGGAAGGTACAGCCTGAGAAAAAGCACAAGAAATGTTCTAAGATTATGCGATGGAATCTTTTGCAGCATGTGAATCAGGATCGAATGAATACAAGCAACCTGATTTAATAAATAAAGGTAATTTAAAATAATTTTATTTTTCTCCACATTTCTCAATAGATATTAAAATGGACCCAGATGTGTAGTCTAGAGCAATGTTGAGTCAATGCTCATTTCCTGTCCTGTTTCCTTCACACCCCAAGTTATTCTGAGAGATTCTTGGAAACATGTGACAAAAATAACATCTCCACTCCTAGCATTAGACACTCTTGTTTTCTTCTCCTTCCCTCCTCCTGCAGCATTTTATTATATAAATTAACTTAGTCTTCTACTTGCAACCAGAACCAAAAAAATCCTTCCTTTTTTAGGTTGAGGATAAATGTACCGGCAATGAGAGGCTTCTCTTTGGTAAAATCTGTAAACGTGCCCACATTCAAAGCTGTTCAATCCATCACACAGGGAGGGAAGTGCAAGTAGTTCAGGTTGTCTGGGCATAGGAAGGGATGATAGTCAAAGGATTTAACAACTAGGACAAGATGGATACCAACCAGCCAAAAGATGTGTCCCTGGGAGCAGATATAGGCTATCAAACCACATTAGGACATAAGGGTTGGGTATAAAATCGTGAAATTATAACTGCTCCATATAGACTTCATCATTCTTCCTGCCTTTCTGCGGGCCTTCCATTAGGACAGATTTTGGTAAGTTTAGCTGATATTGACCTATCCAGTAACTTATATTCAGTATTATAACGGATATTCAGCAGTATAACTTTATCGTCTTAGTCCATTTGGGCTGCTGTAGTGAAGTACTATACACTGTGTGGCTTATAAACAACAGACATTTATTTCTCACAGTTCTGGAAGCTGCCAGTCCAAGACCAGGGTAGCAGCATGGTCAATTCCAGTAAGGGCCCTCTTTTGGGTCACAGATGACCAGTTTCTCCTTGTATCCTCATATGGTGGGAAAGATGATGACAGAGTTCTCTGGGGCCTTGTTATAAGCACACTAATGCCATTCCTGAGGGTTCCACCTTTGGGACCTAATCACCTCTCAAAGGCCTCACCTCTTAATATCATCACGTTGGAGGTTAGGACTTCAATGTATAAATTTGGGGGCAACATAAACAGTCTGTCCATTATAATCATAGCTGATTGTAGCTCATCAGTTGTTTGCAAGCAGTACTTCTGTTTCATTAGTCCTTTGGCATACTGATCTTCTTCTGATGTCCAGTTTTTCTTCCACAGTGTATTTTGTCCAACATCATTATAGAGTTCCATCTAGCAGTATCAACATGTGCTTTCTCTAATTTTTCATTAACATTTCTTCTGTAGCTTCTCAATATTTGACATTTGTATGCTTATATGTTTATGTTTTATGTTTATAATTCTTAATTCCTTAAAATATTTGATTGTACATACAAACCTAAAAATTATTTTTAGGTTAATAATAATTATTTTAGGTTAATTCCTTAATTTTTGATTGTACATACAAACCCATAAATTATTTTTCTACTTTGCACAGTTACATTAAAAATATATTTGAATAGAATATATAAATAGAGGTTCAGAAATGTTTATAGCCACTATATCCACTCACTACTTCACTGGATCCCATCTCTGAATGACAATATTTATATCTAAAGGACATGGGTTTCAGATGACCCCTGGATACTTGTATGAGGGATCAGCTGTAAGCCAGACTCAGTGGAACCTTGTGGAAACTCACCTATCTATGTAATATAGAGAGTTTCTCTCCACCTCTCTATTGTCTGGAAGTGAAACCAGCTATATTCAAAATATTGTATTACGATGTAACCTTTTATGATGATTTTTCAGACAATACCAAGCAGCTTTTGGTGTACATATTTAATTGGTCTTCTCAATGACCTGGTGAGATGGTAATAAAAGAAATCGTCTTCTACTTATTAAGTTCTTTACAATTTGAAAAGCACATTTCTTTTTTTTTTTTTTTTTTTTTTTTGAGATGGAGTTTTGCTCTTGTCACCCAGGCTGGAGTGCAATGATGCATCTTGGTTCACTGCAACCTCCGCGTCCCAGGTTCAAGCAATTCGCCTGCCTCAGCCTCCTGAATAGCTGGGATTACAAGCGCCCACCACCACACCCAGCTAATTTTTGTATTTTTAGTAGAGGCGGAGTTTTGCCATGTTGGCTAGGCTGGTCTGGAACTCCTGACCACAGGTGATCCACCCGCCTCAGCCTCCCAAAGTACTGGGATTACAGGCGTGAGCCACCGTGCCTGACCTGAAAAGTACATTTCTAATTATATTATAATAGTTGATGACTATGTTCCCATTTCTGATTCCTTGCAAATTATATTCTAGCATAAATAGATCTACTTAGAATTCCCTAAACTCAATATCATTTTTCACATTTCCATGCTTTTGTCTTTGGCTACCTGATAAACCCCTGTACATTCTCCAAGACTTTCAGGGCAGGGTTGATTTTCATCCCCTTCCAGGAGGGATGAATGAGAAATCAGAGAACATGAAAGTGGCTGTGTATTCACCCCCAGACTGACGCCTGTGAAGGAACTCAGTCTTCAGCTGTCTTAGATGACTGGGAATGCCGGGGACAGGGAAAGGCTGGGTGGTCTCACCTTCTAGTCCTGGATAAACCCAATTCCATCTTTAAAGAAAAAAAGTACTCACCTCCTGGACTCACTTCCTAGGACAGCTGTAACAAATTACCACAATCTGGGTGACTTATACCAACAGAAATTTATTCTCTCACAGTTCTGGAGGCCGGAAATCCAAAATCAAGCTGTTGGCCAGTGTGGTTTCTCTTGGAGGCTGTGAGGGAGAATCTGTTCCACTTTTCTCTTGAGCTTCTGGTGGTTGCCAGCAGTCCTTGGCGTTTTTTGACTTACCAATGTATTGCTTTCATCTTTGCCTCTGTCTTCATGTGGTCTTCCCCCTCTGTCTCTGCATCTGATTTCCCTCTTCTTATATAGATGTCAATCATTGGATGAGGACCCACCTAATCCAGCGTAGCTTCATCTTAACTTGGTTACACCTGCGAATACCTTGTTTCCAAATAAGGTCACATTCACAGGAACTAAGGGTCAGCACTTCAACATAACTTTTGCGGGGACACCGTTAATCAAACCCACAACACCTCCCTTCTAAGGCCCATATTGACTTCTTATACAAGAGAGAAAGAGTGCTCAGCTTGTTTTTCTCAGGAACATAAAATTAAGGGCAGCCACACTAGACTGTGCCAGAGACTGTTTTTAATGGCTTCACCGCATTCTGGAAGCAGCAAGAGGGGTCTCTGAAGGAAGTAATGTGATACTACCATGTCTTTGGATAGCAACTCTAGCATATTAGAGGAAAAAGAGCAGTTCCAGTATAGATTCTCTCCAGGAATACTTCTTCCCTGACATAATGCAAAATTCACAGTCAAGTGGCATGGAGCTATAACAAGTTCTACAGGGTTTTCTCCTACCCATCTAAATTCAACCCTCAGAACCACTGAACAATGGCGTCAAAGTGCCCAATTTACATAATTTGTGTTTCACAGTCCTCGCCTCTGTTTAGAGAACTGGATTTTTCTCTTCAAAATGATTCTCAAGAGTATGATTTATTTTCCTTCAAGTTTTTGAAAAGGACTCAATCAATCCTGTTTCTAAGAAATGTCCAAATGCCACCAGGAAAATGAGTTCATGTATGAATTGGCCATTTGCTGCTTCCCACTGAAACATTTTTTGTATGTTTAAAAATAACTAAATAAACTTCCTTTTCTTGAAGCCGAAGATGGAATTATTGCAGTCACTTGCTGCTCTGAGTGGGAACGAGGCAGTCTGTGTTCATGAATCCCTTACAGCTCTGGGCTCTCACCCCCACCCCTTTCATTGTTGAGCTGTGACTTAAGGAGCTACTTTCCAGACTTTAAGAAATTTGGTCTTAGACTTAACAGTTTGGTTTATGAAGACAGGCTTCTCCTTCTCCGAGTTGAATGGAACCAATATATTATTGCCCGAACCTAAAATAAAGTGACTCAATTCTGGTAACTATTCTTCTTACTATTAAATATTCCCCAAGATCTTCTGTCGTCACCATCATTGCCATCATCATCAAAATCACGGGAGATTGAAATGGCAATAAGGGAGGTCTGTGGAGTATGGAATCATAGTGCTGGGTTCAAACCTGGACTCTGCCACCTACAGTTTCGTGACCTTGGGCATCTTCGTTAACTTTGCTCAATCCTCCACACCCTCATCCTGAAAATCAGAGGAATAACAGCATGGCAGTCCCCGCTTATCCACAGTTCTACTTTTTGAGATTTCAGTTACCCAGAGTTAACTGTGCTCTGAAAATATTACAAACAGTAAGATATTTTGAGAGAGAGAGACACCCATTCATAATAACTTTTATTACAGTATATTGTTATAATTGATTTCATTATTAGTTATTATTCTTTTCTTACTATACCTAATTTATAAATGAAACTTTATAATAGGTACATATTCACAGGAAAAACATTATATATTTGGGGTTCCATACTATCCTTGGTTTCAGGCATCCACTGGGGTCTGGGAACATGTCCCTGGTGGATATGGGGCACCACTGTACCTGTCCTGTGAGGTTGTTTTGAGGATTAACCTAGATAGTGCATGTAAAATACTTACCATGGCATCTGATACATAGTGTTTAATAATAAGTGTTAACTATCATAATTGTTGTCATCATTGTCATCACCTTAGTAATCAACTGAGTTTCTTACACATTCACTTGCTACCCACTCAGTATCCAAAAGTTGGGGCCAAGGCTGGGGGTGGCTAACGTGCATGAAGTGAATGAAGCAGCATCTGTTCCCAAATGTGAGTGGGCACTGCGGCACCTCAGCAGGCTCAGGTTGGAACCCCTGGATCTTGCGCTTACACTAGCAAATTCCAGAAGTGGCCATGGATGCCAGAGCCACAAAACATTAAATCAACCATCAGGCGTGGCAATGAGTACCTGGTGGCTTCCAGAGTGCATGTGCCCACCGTGGTCCTCACAGTTGGTTCCTAGCAGAAGTTAAGAAGTAAATTTCCTGCTTTCTTAGCACCTGCCC